GTTGGGTACGGCTCGGTTATTTGTACAATAATTTTGGGTTATCGTGTTCAAACGCACACAATTAAACGTTAGTTTAAAATAAAGATTTAAAATTTTCTGATACAAATTTATGAACAAATTCGGTTTGAAATATGGACCTTTTTCTAAAAAATACTGCCGTCAAAAATGATAGAATACGAGATTGCGCCGATTGCAGCAGAATTCGTGAGAGTAATTTTGGCGAGACGTCATCGTAGAGTTGACAACTGAGAGCGGCAAATAAAACTGCTGCCTAGTGATGTGCTGAATTGTCGGTACCCAATACTTAAAAAAGATTTCGGTACCCAATACTTCCTTTTCGGTACCCGATACCGATTCTTTACATTAAACCTTCGCCATTATATGCACCGTTCATTACTAATTTTTGTGATATTGGCTAAAACACTTGAACGTATCGCAACAGAGAAATTTTATTTTATCCGTTTTAACCTTAGTCGATGCAAGGTTCAAGAAAAATGCTTTGACGGATGAAGAAACCTTCCAGGGGGGAGATTCTGTAACCAGTTAGCGACCAGTTTCGAATCGATATCGTACTTGTTGACGTAAAAATATTTCATATCATACGTCAACAAAACCGATACCGATTCGAAAATTGTCGCTAACTGGTTACAGAATCTGCCCCAGGCCTACAAAAATGATATCGTCCGATTCAGCTGGAACAAAAATGCTTCAAACAAGTAAGAGTTTCTCTGTTTTATGTCCTCGAACCGACATATATACATCTTTCATTTGAATCAGTATTAAAAGCTCTATTGCTCCTACATTCGGATTTTGATAGGCGATTCTCCCCTGAACCGTTTTTTCCATATTTTTGGCCTATGTGGGCTTTTATTTGAAACCTAAATGTTTCGGTACCGAATATCGAGAGCATTGGATACTTTTTAAATCGGTACCGAATATCGATCAATACTTAGAAGTATTGAATTAGCACATCACTACAGCTGTAATCTCGACTGTGACGTCAGCAAAACAGCTGATTCTGTCAAATTCACTGAGAGCCGATTAGCGGTGTTGTCATCCGCGCCACCTTCTGTATTCTCTCCACCGTGTACTGCGGTCAGCGTAACCGGAGTCGGACTGATGAGGGTTATTTTTTCTAAGCGCTGCCGAAAGCCTACAACGTGGAAAGGTATTTGCGCAAAAATCCTGTTGTTGGCGTAACCCGAGTTTACATTTTCTCGGTCAAAATGCTAATTTCACCCCACTTTTATATTGGATCCGCCATTTTGAATTTTTAAAAACGAACATCGGATTCGTAATCAGCGACACCAAAAACTCCGAGTAACGAGTTTCAAGCGATTCCGATCAATTTTTATAAAAGTCATCCGCCTTATTGGATGCGCCATTTTGAATTTTGGAAAACCAACATCGGATTCGTAATCAGCGACCCCGAAAACCCCCGAGTAACAAGTTTCAATCCATTAAAGCGTCCAGAAGCATCAAAATCAACTTGGTAAACTTCAAAGTCGTTTTTCTCGAAATCTTTTTTTCTGAGCGTAGGTCCCTTTTAACTTTACGTGCCACATATATTAAAACCAATTTAAATATAATATGGTTCATTTCCTGGTACCAACAGGTTGTTCAAATTAAACAGGATTCCAAAAAAGCCACAACCCTATTGTTTAGCACTAGTTGCCACTTTTTCAAAGCTCTTTATTTCATGAATTCGCGAACTATGCATAAACGGGACCCTTTTGAATTCATGAAATGAAGAATAAACGTAGTATATGCGTAGGCTAATTCGCCAATTCATTTCATGAATTTGGGTTAAAATTGGCTGCATAAACACCATTTTATGAGTTCAATTGTACACGAAAGTTAACCATGAATTCGGCATCATTCATGAAATCGTGATGTGCAAGTTCGGCAACGCCACGTTTAACAAACAGCTGTTTACTAGTGTTATGATGTTTTTATATTAATAACCATGGGTGGCATAACCAGAATTTTAAACACTGGAAAAGTTATGTGGAATTGTTCAAATATAAAATAAATTCAAATAGAATAAACTGAAAATATATTAAAACCAATTTAAATAAATGTGGTTCATTGCCTGGTACCAACGGCTTTTGCAAATTCAAAAGGAGGTCAAAAAATCACAACCCTACTGTTTAGTTTCTCGCCAGTGCGTTACCGTTTTTTCAAAGCACTTTATTTCATGAATTCACGAACTATACATAAACGGGACCATTTTTGAATTCATGAACTCTGTCGCATAAATATAGTATACGCCAGTTAAAATATCTCACACGGTACGGTTTTGTAAGAGGCCAACTATTTCGGGCTATTCCGTCCAAAGGGGTGACCCGATCCGAAAAATTCCAACGCTCTTGTAGTCAAGTGTCTGCACATTATTTTAACACATACTTTTGTAATTTTCGGCCCGTAATTTATTTAGAAATTTGGTTTGAAATATGCCCTTTTTTGTAAAGTCAGAAATTTGCATACAATAATCACTCCTATTCTCCTAAAAGAAGCCACTTCATCAATATTTTTTTATATTCGACATCACTTTACACTTTATTATATTCGTTATAACTTTTTTTAATCCTTTTATTTCAACCAATTAATCACAATTTATTAAATAAAAATAACTTGAAAATCACGCTCGTGCCTTTGGTTTAGGGCTGCCATAATTTTGAACCCTTCGACCAATAAATAATGTTTTTTTGGGTCTGGCGTTGCATTATTTTGAAGTATTCTCTTATATTCAGCCCTATCACGCAATCCCTCGTAGACTGTTTTTCGGAGAAGTTATATACGAGACAGCTATCATACAATTCGAATAGCTCCGAACGAATCGTAGAGTAGCATTCACTGAATCCACTCAAAACTTCAAATTGTGAAGTT